TCAAAATTTGAAGTTGCTTCTTCTGTTAGAAACCTTAAGTTTTTCTTTCATGCATTCTACAAGGAAGTCTAGATCGCCAGCTTTGGTTTGAATTTCCTTTAGAACTTCATTTTTTGGTGCAACAAGATCGGATTTGGTTATATCCAGAGCAGTTGCAAGCTTCTTAATAACTGCTTCTTCAACTTGCTTTATCTTTCTCTTTCCAAGTGAAGGCTTGTTAGAGGTTTTGGGTAAATGAACTTTTAAAGGAGACACTTCAAGTTCGCATAAAGTACTGTTGAGCAACGATCTTGTTGATTCCAGTATAAGATCTTTTTCCATATTATCTTCAGGTAATTTCATCTCCAACTCGTTCTCTTCTGATTCTTCACTTGCTAATTTATGCCTGCATTGTGTACAAAGTTTTTCACCTGGAACTACGAATTTGCCTTTACTGCATAGGTATTTTGCTGTATCCAAGTTGATTTCACGAAGACTACCTAAAAAAAGGGAAGAACTCTTTTAATATGTATAAAATTTTTAATAAAACCTTCAAAAGTTTAAAGTTGTATGGCATTTAATTGTGCACTTTCAGAAGTCAGCTAAAAGGTTAAATATAGCTAAAATAGAATTTTGCTGCCAAGAATTTCATTATTGTAATTCAAAACGTTTCTACAAAACTAAAAGTTTTACTATAAATTCATGATTACTATAAATACCTTTTATAGTTTTGTTATGAGTATTAAATGGATTGCAGCACCGTGTTAATTTAGTTGTATAACGCTTCAAATAAACATGTTTATGATGGAGACAAGTTGTTGGTTTGATATTTATTATTGAGAGCCCAGTCCTCCACATTAAAATTTCTCTTTCATATTCAATAATATCTTCAAAAGGTTCGATTCCCAGCAACGATGTATATGTTGTAAGATGACATTCACTTTCTAGGTTGATTCCAATAGAGCATTTTTGACTGTTTGCCATGACTAAGAAACTGAATTACCAAACAAGATTTAATAATTATTTAATCTAAAATTAAAATAATTTTTTTTATTGAAATTTGTTATTATTAACTGTTGTTTTAAAACTATATTTAGACACATAACTGACGTCCCAAAACTATATTTACACATCACAGCAGGTGTTGCAAAACTATATTTTTCATGATAATTCACTTCACAAAATTTTATTTCTATATCAAAATCAACCTTAATAAACTGTTTTTACACACCACAATTGAACCCATGAGAGTCAGGCAATTTGTGAAAATGTTACCCCGTTTTTTGGTTAGGTAATATTATACCATTTTAAAATTCAAATATTATTTTAAAATATTAGGAATTGGGTTAATTTCTCTTCCTCTTTGTATTCAACACCTTTAAAAATGGTCAGATACCAATTTGCAGTCATATTTCTCTACTAGATCTTAAATTATTCACACAATAAGTATCGCTATAAAATCTATAATAGAGAATAGATGCCAAATAAAGAAATTTTTTGTCTAAATTTCAAAATGAAATATCTTTTCTATGCTTTAAGAACCCAAAACCATTTTTTTTATAAAGATAGCCTAGGATCACCTACTTCATTTGAAAAAAAAATCAAATCCATGAGACTTGGGCAACTTTGGGAATTAATGAAAGCGCAACCCATGGTTACAAAACAAAAAATTTGACTGGCCATTTTAAAATGAAAAAATAACTATCAAAAAATTTAAATTTCACTATTTTATCTACATTTTTGAATTCACTATTTTATCTACATTTTTGAAATGTGGCTGAAAATCAGCACCCTCAAAAATGGTCAGGTACTGATTTTCAGCCACATTTTTCCACTAGATCTTAAATTATTCAATTAAAAGTACTACTACAAAGTTCATAATGGCGGAAGTGGAAAAAAATAGGACGTTTTAGGCTGAATTTCAAAATGTCATAACTTTTGAACGGTTTGGATTTGGAAGCTCAAACTTTACATTTTTTTTTGTTATATTGATAGGTACCACTGGTTCAAATTTGAAAGAAATCTGAGAGGGTGACTGAAAAGTTTCAATTTTTTGTCCCACTTTTACATGGAATTACCGTATTGTGTTCATTGTAATTGTATCGTTCCACTACATATATTTTGTTTAACAAGATTTAAAATGTTGTTGGAACAAGTCCAACAACATTTAAAATGGCTGCCATGAGCCGCGAAAATGATATGACTTAAAAATATTAAATGATATTTTACCAGCCATTGTAGATGTTACCTTTTTCAAAATTGTAGCCAGATCAAATAAAAATAATAAAATATCAGCATTAGGCTTATTATTTGAACATAATTCAAAGCCATTATTGGGCACACTGGCAGCAACATCAAATTTTTTAAACATTTAAAGGTAATTTTGAAAATTAGTATTAGTTAAAATTAGTTTACCATATATATTATGAACAATATGCAATTAATTATCAACAAACAAATATTTAATGTTGTATTAAAGGCAAAACAGTACAAGTTAATATTAACCAAAATATACAATACTTACTTATTTACAGCAAGGTAAAAACTTATTTTTTAAAAAGATTTATGTTTACTATATAGAACTCGCACCAGAATTGCTTTGGCAACTATAAAACACATAAGGCAGATGTTCAGAGAAAACGTAAGCTAGGCAGGGCTGGTGTAGGAAGTACAGCTGATAAAGGCCCTGCTAATAAAAAGTTCAAGCAAATTACTTACCATGAAGTAACATTGGAATTTTTACCATGATGTTATATTATATCGCAAGAAAAAGCTGACAACTTTATCACGGATTATATTACTGAAGAGATGCGTCCTTTGGTTACAGTTGAAAAACCGGCTTTTTGTCAACTGCTTTGTGGGTTTAATCCTAATGTAAGTATCATGTGTCACAAGACTCTTAACAAAAATTTAAATTTAAAGTTTTCTAGGGTGCATTAAAAAGTAAGAAGCAAACTGAAAAAGGCATCATTTGTTTGCACTACTGCTGATATCTGGTCAGTCAATAGAAAAAGTTATCTAGGCATGACTGTGCATTATATTGAAATGTCACTAGATGATTCTAGTTTGATTTCACAAGCATCTATATCCCTTACTTACCGTTGTTTTTATGATAGTCACACATATGACACAATTGAAAAAATCTCACTGACAATGCGTCACATTTTATAAAAACGTTCAGAGAATTTTGTAGTGCAGCAGCAATTAATGTAATTGTGACAATTAAGCCTTTAATGTAATTGCAATTAATCAGCAATTAATGTAATTGTGACAATTAATACATTTGAAGAGCAAGAGGACATGGATGAAATTGATGTAATTATTATTGAAGACATTCTTATAGTTTCAGAACATATTGATGATGATGATGATGTGAGTATTGCTTTGCCATCTCATGAAACATGTATCAGCCATTCACTGAATCTATTGGCAACTAATAATGCTAAGAGGGTATCTGATGCATACAGTATGTTTATATGTACCTACAGTACAGGTCTGGCAAAATGCACTTCAATATGGAAAGCAACTTGACGAAGTAGTAAAGCATCAGATTCTATGTCAAATATTACAGACAAAGCAATACTCTGCCTCGTGGCAACATGTTGAAATTCTCAGTACAATGCTATCAAGCAATTACTTAAATTATGTGATAAACTTAATGATATTTGCAATGCTTTGGTTGCACCAAAGTTTAAAAAGCAAAAATTAAAATGCCTGCAAGAATATGCCTTGGTCATGAAACCTGTTGCTACAACAATGGATAGTTTGCAAAGGGATAATGTATATTATTGATGTGTTTCCACATTTGCATTGCTTACAGGTGAAATTGGAACCGTTTCAAAGTTGCCATTTAAAATATAGCGCTCAGCAAGAATGCATGTTGTATCTGAATGCTTTGAAAAAGTGACTATTTGGTCACTGTTTTTCTAATTCAATACCACTGTACCATCGCTGGCTCCAGTTAAACGACTATTTAGCACAGAGTGACAAATACAAACACCTAGGCGTAATTGTCTAAGTGACAATGATCTTTAAATAAAAAAGGCTAATAACTGTTTTTAAATCTAATCATAATTTAAGGACTCTACTAACATCAAAAAACAAATTGAGGCTACCGGACAACAGTAAACCTACATTTTATTTAATTGAATGTAATTGCTCTAAAGTGTATGTTGTTGAAACAAAATTACAAATTAGAACAAGATTTCAACAACACTAAAAATGTTTGATGAAAAATAAGTATTATCAGTTGGCTATAGCTCTTCATAAAAAAGACTGTAGAGAAGAAATAAATTGGAATAAAGTTGAAACACTTAAATAAGAATATAACAAATTTGATAGGAAAGTTCGTGAAGCATTAAAGATTCAAAAACATCAATGCTCTCCAATTTATGGTGGAATAAACTTAGATAACGAACACTACATTTAAACTAAATTTTGGACTCCATTTTTTGCATTTTTGCGTCAAAGAAGCCCTTCTAACGCTGATGTCAAAGTTTAATTTTTGTAATTTATTATAACGGTCATAATTGTAATTTTTAATTTCGATATTATAGCTGATGATACTGGTAACTACAATCCACCAAAAATTTCAAATAAATTAACAATAGTATTGAGAGAACTCGTGTTAATTGATGTTTTTATATTTAAAATCCTTCAATTTTTTTTTTTTTTTTTAGTATAGATTTCAAAAGATGAAAGTGTAAAATAAATGTGTTAAAGAATAACTCATGATAATGAATGATTAAATATGAATTTGACAACAAAAAAAATACAAATAAGACTACCAGGGGCTATTCTAGACCATTTTCGACAGCGTCGACAGTATTTGGGCACTGACCAAATTAAAATTTAAAAACTTTTTTTTGCCTAGAATAGGCTGACTACTGTACCTATTTATATTATATTATAATATATATATCTTATATTTTATTTATCTTATATTATGTTTATATATTATATTTATAATGTATTTCGTAGGGTATTATGTTATTTGTTATACATTTTTGTATATTATGTAGAGAACTATTCCTGCTATTCTTGATTGTCTTATTAATGCTGACTGGCCATTTTTTCCATTAAAAAATCCTGAAAAATGTGAAGAAGAATGGTCAGAGATTCCTAATTTGCCAACACGTTATCATTTTCATTATCGTCTCCTGGACGGTGACCAAAACAGTGAACCAGCTAGAAAAGATAATAAACCTAATATTGATTTCGATTATCGAAGTCCATCATGTCTCCAACTTCTTGTTGAAGGTGCCCACAGTGAGGTTGTCATTGATATTTAAATTTCAATTAAGTATAGCTATATGTATTTTCATGTTTGTATTTTAATATTGCTAATTATTCATTATATTTTTTTGTAAACATGCACATTTTTTTGTAGTACATTTTGTTTATGTTAAAGTGAATATTGTTCTCAATAGAATGTAAATCATCCTTCAAACTACCTATTTTAATTTTATTATTATTACAATTATTATTACAATAATTATAATTTTAAAACACCTTTTAGTTTAATGTTCTAATCAGACTTGTGGGGCTACATTTTATTTACAGTTCTGTTTTCTAACGATTTCATAGCTTGGTTCTTAGCTTCTTATATGTGTAACTATTTTTTTTTAGTTTACTAGAGAAAAAAGTTTCAAAAAGTTAAAATGTTTCTTTTTTCATTTATGAACAAAACTTGTTCATAAATCTAAAAAATAAAATTGATGTAACATTATCTTGTGTGTAATCAAAATAAAGTTTATTACATTTTATTAAAAATTTTCATAAAATTTTCAGCAATACTGCAGGTAATTTGGAGTATTGTTCTGAATGCAAGTTCTGTTGAGTTTTTTTTTTAAATTCATATTGGTTGACAAATAGAAAAATAATTGAAGTATAGTAATAACAAATTATAATCAAGTCCTCTGTAAATCTTTAGAACATATAAAACAAAGGTTAGACAAATATTTGTAACACTGGTTGTATACCTACTTTGAAAATTGGTTTAACTTGGAAAAATTCCCTGTTTTATTAATTATGTAACACTTTTAATAGTATGTCATTGAATCTTTAAAGGATTCAATGACAACATTATCATTTATATCATTATAACCATCTGATCTGTTTGACTTGAGCATTTTCGAAAGTTGTTTAAATTCTTTAAAAGATTATTTAAAAGAGGTTAAAGGCGGATTTATTAGAAATTCATAATTATCGTTTTGTCACAATGCACAAGTTTTTGTTTTTCGATTTAAATTCCATGCATACCACTACTATAAAATGCATTGCATGATGGGTAATTGAAGTTTTCTCACTATCAATCAACTAATTATATTAAAAAACTATAAAAGACTTATTAGCATTTAAAAGGAAAACTCACAGGAGAAATTAAAAACATTGTGATGTACAGATTTGAAAATAATTAGTAACAATAGATGATAAATTAATATCAGTTTTTATTTATTTCAGTTTTTTTATAAAAAAAGATTGTCATTTAAAAGTATTTTTAAATTTTAGATGATTTTGTTATAAAGTGGAATGTTACTTTGCTTAGCATTGCATAATAGAAAACCTGCCAAACTAAGGTTTGGTTTGTTTAAAAGAAATATGCACCATAAAATTAGGTAAACAGTTCAGTAGTCCAAAAGTTTTTAATGCACAACACAGTTGACATATCATAAGTTGAACAAACAATATCAAAACAGATTAACATGAATTTTAACAGGCTTAATGATAATCTGTTTTAAATATGCATTTGCATACCTAAAACAGATGGCAGAAATATCTTTTTAATGGCAGAAGTTTATCTTTTTAATAGAATTAAAAAAAAAAGAGTAATAGAAATAATTAGTAATAAATTTATCAAAGAAATTCAAATGATGAAAAAAACTAAAGTTTAACTACTAATTTTTCATGTTTGATAGGAAAATATCTACAAAATATTAAAAGAAATTAAAAGAAGGAGAAACTAAAATAAAATTGCTCATTTTAACAAATTGAAATTGTTTACTGATGGCTAATTTACAATTTAGATATTGGAAAATAGTTTTAATCAACACTATAAACTTGAATATAAAATTAAAAAATATCTAGGGCCACTTAAATCTTTTTTGGTATCAAATCGAATCTCAAATTGAAGCAGGCATTGATTCGCAAATTAAATTGAATCAAATCAGCATTTTGAGGATATCTATGTTTTACTTAAACTTAGATTTCTTCAAAATGCTGATTGGACTCGTAACTCAAAACTATTTGCGAATCAAGAGTAGAATCAAGCAAAATCTTGCTTAGATAGTGTGTACTCATGAATGAAGGTTAAATTCAGAGCATTGGTTCATGATCAAATAATAATGTAATAAAGATTAAAGATCTATTGTTTTCAAACATAACATTTCACTAATTAGATTTACATTGTGTTGATCTTTTTTTTATATTTTATATTTTATTTTTATTCAATATGTTTACAACCTACTACAATTTACAACCTAAATGCTAAGACATTAAAATCAAGTTTTGATTTTCTGAGTACGGTTTTTTTGAATAAGATTTTGAGTCAAGTCTATCTAGATAAAAATTAAAGATAGGTAAATAAAAGTAGTTAGACCTTGCCACATTTGTAACAAAGTTTCTTTAATTTTACTTTCTGTAGCTAATAAAGTTAATATTTGGTGTGGTAATGTTTATAAAATAAAAATGTTGATATTTTAATCGTTGTAAGAATTTAATTTGTGTGATTTAAAATTTGGAGTATCACAAATTACTTTCAAATACTGCAAATGTAAATCAATTGGTTTTGGAGTATCACAAATTACTTTCAAATACTGCAAATGTAAATCAATTGGTTTTTTTGCAAAAAACAAAAGTTTACTTAATCTATAAAATAAGATAAAAAATTTAAGCAAAAAATTTTCCTTTTGCTCAGCTCTTCAAATTTTATTTAAATGTTTCGAATGTTCTTCGAATAAACAACAATCAAATCTTTTAAATGTTTCGAACATTCTTCGAATAAACAACAATCAAATCTTTTAAATGTTTCGAACGTTCTTCGAATAAACAACAATCAAATCTTTTAAATGTTTCGAATGTTCTTCGAATAAACAACAATCAAATCTTTTAAATGTTTCGAATGTTCTTCGAATAAACAACAATCAAATCTTTTAAATGTTTCGAATGTTCTTCGAATAAACAACAATCAAATCTTTTAAATGTTTCGAATGTTCTTCGAATAAACAACAATCAAATCTTTTAAATGTTTCGAATGTTCTTCGAATAAACAACAATCAAATCTTTTAAATGTTTCGAATGTTTTTCGAATAAACAACAATCAAATCTTTTAAATGTTTCAATGTTCTTCGAATAAACAACAATCAAATCTTTTAGCTTAATTAAAAATATAAAGATAATAAAAAATTATTTTGTTTAGATAGCTGTCCGTCATCCAGTTGTTCGAATGTTAGTTAACAGAAAGTGGAAGAAATTCGGTAAAAAAATGATAAGGTAAATTCTTTAGATTTATCAAAACTTTTAAAAAAAATTTTTTTTTTTTACAAAAAAAGCTGTGGTTTAAATTTTTTTATACTTTAAATTTTTAATATTAAATATACTCTATATAAATGTGAATATTCTTGAATTTAATTTTAAAAGGATGAACTTTGTGGTATATATTGTGTTTCTTTTGTTCATGTCATTGGCTTTTTTTGGTTTAAAAAAAATGGATACTTTTTCAACTGTATGTGAAATTGTAACACTTATATTTACTGTGGGTTACTTGATATCAGAAGTTGATCAAATGGAGAAGTGAGCTTTTTAAATTTATTTATATATATATATATATATATATATATATATATATATATATATATATATATATATATATACATATATACATATATATACATATATACACATATATACATATATATACATATATACATATATACATATATACATATATATATATATATATATATATATATATATATATATATATATATATATATATATATATATATATATATATATTTATACATATATACATATATATATATATATATATATATATATATATATATATATATATATATATATATATATATATATATATATATATATATATATATATATATATATATATATATATTTATACTATATGCTATATACTAAATATAGTGACAGTTTTTATAGTATTATATTTATAACAAAATTTTATTGTGTTTAGTAGGATTTTTTTTCTTTTTCTTTTTTCAATTGTTTGTCTAAAAAATATTATATGGTTTATTATTTTTGAGAGTTTTAAATTTGGCAATTTTGAAAATTTTTCATATGGTTGTCCATTTTCAGAAAATACGCTAAAAAGAAACTTGACACATTTTAATATTCTGTTTGAATATTTGTACGTATTTTATATGATTATAAAGCAAAATTTTTAAAAATAACAATTCTTATATTTAGTTGAATAAAAGAATGTGGAAATGAATACTGAAATAAAAATTATAATGAAAACTGGTGTTTTTAAAGAAAATGATTAGTAGAAATTTTTAGAAAATTCAGTTAATGTTGAGAGTTTTGATATTTAAATTAAATGGATTTAATTTAATTTAAAAATTGATATTTTTTATATCCTGATTTTTTATATCCTGATTATTTAGATTTATCTTCTGAATTTAAATTGGCAAAACTTAGTCGTTGTTAGAAAATTGATTACTAAGCATTTTATAATCATCTATGTATCTTAATAATGAGTCTTAATCCCGAGTATCATTATTTTAACTTTTATAAGTTACTGGTGCAACATTAAAAAATAAGGTTTTTTTGATATCATGAAGTTTGATAAACTTTTGAAATTTCTGACATATTTACCATAATAGATAAATTAATTGGACATTTTTTAAGCTATGTAATTTCTTATCCCATGAAAAGTAGCATTTACTTTGAAAAACTTTTTGTTCTTTTGATAGCAGATTTTGCATGACTATAAAATTTAAAAAGTTTACTAATGTTTGCAAGAAACATTTTAAGATCTCGTTGCATTAAATGCTTCAAATACTTGAAATACATTCTAAATAATTTAATGTCCTCGTTTAATTACTTTGTGAGTGGGTCTATGACTGTTTCTAGAAAGTAATTATTAACAATTTAAGAAACAGTTTTGGTTTAAAAAGAAAATTTAATTTAATGCCATAATTTAAAATATAAAAATATCAAAATGTTATTGAGCAATTTATTTTATTTAATGAATTTAATAAAAAGAAAGAGATAAATTCTAAATAAAATGTTAAAAAAAGCTACAAAAACATCTCAATAAGATAGGATAAAAGATGCAAAAAAAAAAGGTTGGATTGGCTATCTGTGATACTTATAGGGTTTATATGTAAAAAGCTAATGTGTAAACTGTAAATTTTTTTAATTTATTTTTATTCTGATTTACTACCAAAAAGGCTACATGCAATCACTATTAAGTTGGGAGTTAAATAAAATTATTGATAATAAAAAAAAAAACACTGATAAAAGAACTGTTCATCAAATATAATAAAAAATGTATTATTTACTTTACATAGAAATTTTAAACTTTTTATTATAAATGATTAAGAAACCTTATATTATAAACAAAACTTTATATTATGAAATTATATTTTGTATGACATTAATTACACAGTATTTTGTGTTGAATGAGTAAATTAAGTTTGTATGACATAAATTACACAGTATTTTGTTTTGAATGAGTAAATTAAGTTTTTGTGTTGAATGAGTAAATTTAGTTTTTGTGTTAAATGAGTAAATTAAGTTTTTGTGTTGAATGAATAAATTAAGTTTTTGTGTTGAATGAGTAAATTAAGTTTTTGTGTTGAATAAGTAAATTAAGTTTTATCCACTTTAACCAACAATACAAGGAAAAGAACTTTTAAAAAAAATTGATTGACTTTTTTTTGAAATTTTTTTTTTAAGTTTCTTTTTGTAACAAAAAGAATTATAAAAAGAAATAGGTTCAAGTTAAGTTTTTTGTAGCTGTCTATAGCTTTAATGCTATAGACAGCTTGTAGACATTGTGAGGAGCTTTATGTTTATAAAGAAAGTGTTCTACCATTATATCACTATCCCGTTCAGTTGTCGATAAAATTCATGTTTAATTTGTTTTTTTAATATATGTTTTATGAGAAACTTTAGATGTTGAATTTTCATTTCATTTTTATTTTTGTTTCATTTGAAATTACTAATTTTTTAGAGAGCGTATACAATATTTTAAAGATGTGTTTAATTACCTTGATGTCCTTGGTTTAGTATTGATATTAAGTATGGTTCCTCTAAGAATATCTGGCTACAGTAAATCAGAGTTGTCAGTTGCTGCTGTTGCTTATTTAATAAATTTCCTCAGAGTGTTTAAATATTTTCCTGCTTTCAAGTTAGTAATGCCAATTACTTTTGTTTTTAGGATTTCGTTTGTTCTTATAGAGAATTTGTTGTTTTATATTCTTATATTTAATTATCATATTTTAATCATTATAAATATTATATATTTAAATAATATTATTTTTATAGGTACATTGGATTATATTCTAAAACATTTGCAAATATAATTTACTATGACATATCTAAGTTTGCAATTGTTTATGTCATAGTAGCTATCGCATTTACAGGCAGCGTTTTTCTATCGTTGAATGCCACTTTAACAGCTAATACCAAGAATGAAATGTTGGTTTTATTTTTTATGAATAATTTTTTATAACATAAACTGTTTCTTTTCTTAAATTACAGTCAGGTTAATAGCAGTCAAAATTTTATCAATTTTTAAATAATTGTTTAAAAAAAAATGCAAATAGTTGTATAAAATAAAAGTTTTATAGTGTTGATGTTATATTTTAATGAGAGTGTATTTTTTTTTTCAATGTACCTTAAGATAACAATTTAATTGTAACATGTTGCCTGAGCTTTTTGTATTGTTTTTTTTTATCAGTGGGTTTTTGAAAGTTTTGTTGAAAGAAGTGCGAGCTTTAGCAGAGTCAAGTCCATTTAATGATGATTATTCTGACTTTCAGTATGTTTTATTTTTCTAAATTTTTTGTTTGCTTAAAAAACAATTTTTTTTTTTTTGTTTTGCTTTGTTCATTGTGTCTCTGAATTTTATAGTGCTGGTGTAGTCATACTGATAATGATTAATATGTTCAGCATCATTGTTATTTTGTCCAATATTTTGATTGGTCAACTGAGCAATAGATATTCAATAGCAGTTGAAGAAGCTGAAATACAATATAGTATTGACAAAACTAAATTTATAACAAGGCTTGAAAAGAGTCGATTTCGATTTTTCGTAAGTTTTCTGCATTTTACTAATAATTTTTAATTAATAAATAAATTAACTTATTTGAATAATATATTATTTATTATTGTTTATTATTATTTTTTTTTTTTTAATGACAAAACTCAAACTTTGTGATTGCGAATTGCAAAATCTGAAAAAGCTTCAGGTCTTTAAATTTTAAGTTTTTTAAAAACCGTAAACTTTCACAAAGCTTAATAGTTGTTCTTAAAAAATATTTATATTAATCTTGAAATTATAATATAAAATCTCATTATAAAAATATATTATTGTTTATATTATTATTTATATTATTAATATTATTTAATAAGCAAATTAGCAGTGATCAAATATTTTAAATAAAAGAAATCTCAACTACTTTTATTTCTTATATTAATCTTCAATATTTTTCTTATAAATCAAATATTAACAATCAATTAATGCTTAAAACTCTCTGATGCGAGTATTAATATAAAATTAAAGGCAGAGGAGTTTAAATACTAGTTTAAACTACTTATAATTATTTTGAAAACAGAAGAAAAAAAATTTCCGATAATGATATTTAAATTTTATATCTTTTTATTGTTATTTTTGTTATTAATTCATTATTGCCTTTCTGAAAAGATTTATTTTTAAATAAAAACTTTTTCAATGTTTCCCCATAATTAAAATTCAATTTTATTATGTACTATGTGCAAATATCTTCAGTTTATTAATATTGGTCGATTTTGAAATTAACGAGATTTTTCAGATATTTTTAATACTTTATTTAACTGGTGTTTAAACAAACAATAAAATGTGTAAGTTTTTGTTATTCTTTTTGTTGCAGTTGTTTATTGCAATATGATAAATTAATATTTTCATTAAAACAGTGTTCATCGTTTTTAGTAAAAAAAATTTGAAGACCAGAAATATTTCCAGAGTTTACAATTTGCGATCACTCAATTTGTGTCTTGAATGATATATTTTTAGTAAGTGGTAATTAAACTATTTGTTTAGAATGCTCGAATCGCTCACTATGTTGATGGTGACTACGTGAGTGACGAATCTTTAGTTAAAGGTGGATTTTTTTTAAAGATTGTTTATTTTAACTAATAATTTGAAAAAAAAATTTTGAAAAAATCATTAAATTTTGCATAAAATAAAATATATAATGAAAGGAATCCCTATGTGCATAGATAAGTTGTGATCATATGTTAAATAAACATAAGAAATTAAGTTTAGAAATTCTTACTAATAGTGATCAACCGAAATTCTGTTTCGGTATGGGCTTCAACCGAAATTTAAATTTGAACTGATACTGAAAAGTGTTTTTTTTTTTTTTTTTTTTTTTTTTTTTTTTTTTTTTTTTTTTTTTTTTGACAAAATATACACCTGTTTTTGTTTTAACAGCAATATTTTTCTTAAAGCATTTACTGAAATATGTATTGGATCCAATAAACATTTTTTTGCGGATCAAAGTACTGTCTCTGTTACTTCTCTTATAGTAAAGACAATTATCGTGGGATCATTAAATTATTGAAATTAATTACATTATTGAAATTAATTACATTTTTAAAATCAGCTGGTTAAACTTATAAAAACAGCCCAAAAATGTCCTCTTTTATTACAATGCTAAAAATGGATGTAAACTACTTTATGTTTGATTTTAGATTTGCTTAATGAGTGGAATAAAAGTCAGTCTTTAGAAGATGTTGATACTACTGCATATATAAGGTTATTTTTACAAGTTTTATTTTAATCAGTTTTTGTATTTATAATTATACTCAAAGAATTGACTTAATTTCTTACAATAAATTTGAATATTTAATTAAGGTCTGTCTGTACTATAACAAATATGCATAAAACAAACTTTCAAATTATTTTAAACAATAAAAATACTTTTACTGCTTAAAAAAGGTACTTTTACATAAATTTGGAAATGATTTGCGGTTTTTAGTCAGCAATACTGTCAATAGTATTCTAGGTTATAATAAAATTGTTCATCTTTGAAAAATTTGCATTGTGAAGACTTTGTTAAAAATCCATTTTTGATTTTAGAGGGCAGGAATGTTAAGTACAAAATGGATGCAACTTAACTGCTATTTATATAATTATTTTGTAGACCTATATAAAATACTTTAATTTTTTAATGAAGACCTTTTTCAAAAATTCATTTTTAATTTAAGAGAACAGGAAAGTTAAATACAAAATGGATACAACATAACGGTTGTTTATCCAATTATTTTGTGGATCTATATCAAAAACTTCAATTTTTACAAATAACAGAGAAATTGTGTTTGCTAAGAAGTGTTTAAAATAGACAACCGATAAAAAGTATTTGATCTGAATTAAAGTTGACATATCTATATCATTGTCTTTATCAGTTGCAATAAATTGTATTCCTCTCCTTCTAATTTATAGAATAGATTTTTTTTTTATGTAAGTTTTGAAGGTATCTTTAAAATTAAAGTTTTAAAGGTATTTTTGAAGAGTCTGGGTATGATTTATCTTATTGAAATTATAATGAACTATTATTGAAGATATAATAAACTAGTATTATGACGTACCTGTATAATATATTGACATGTGCATGATATAGACTCCTAGTTTGATGAAATATTGTTCAGTAAGACAAATAATTGTAAACATAGGCTATGGATTATTGTCGTACTAAACAATAATCAATTATCAAAAAGAAGTAATCAATAAGTTTTTAGTAATCAATCAGTAATCAATAATCAAATAATAAATTAGAACTAGGCCTTAACCAGTAGAGAAACTCATTTTTCTTAAATTAATAAATGCTTTTGTTATTTTGGTCTCAGGTACCTGATTTGATATTACGTTATTAACAGAGATGTAGGTCTGGATACCTACATCATTGTCTTTTACTTTCTTGATTCTCACAAATTATATCAACTTAGTTATTAATAAAAAACCGTAGATAGCCACAACTTCCCACTTTCAATGAGAGTTTGTAGCGTTGGTTTGACAAGGTTCTAATCTAAGGTTGAAATTTTTTATGTTAGGAGAATTGAAAATTTTTTAAAAATTTTTTCAATATTTAATTAAAATTATCTATATTACTATTTTTTTATTTGTTTATGTATTCTTTTTACACAGTAATAATACGTAAATGATAGAGTGTACTCTATGAAGAGAGCTTATGAAGAAGACCAAAATAGCCAATTTTAACAAAGACTTTAGACATGTTAAGAGCAATAGATCTAACTTCCCCTTATTTGTCTGATGCACAATAAAACGTTTTTGTTATTATTGTTAACAAATCAATAGTAGAATGAGATGATCGAAATCCATTTTGGTGATAAGAAATAAAAGTTGATATATTCAAGATGAAAGATAAAGTGTTTTAAAAAAAAACAACTTAAAAACCTAGCTTATGATAGGAAGAAGAATGATGGGACATTAGTTAGACAAGTCATGTTGCTCTTCAGAATTTTTGAGAATTGGGATAACAGATGCCGTTTTCCAGCATGCTGGAAAACAAGACTGATAAATACTTGCTAAATAGTTTTTAAAGTGTAGACAACAGCTCTGGAGAACACTTCTGCAAGACCATAACAGGTATGTTGTCTAGACCACAACCTGTAGAAGAGTCTAAACAGGAAATTAATTTAGATACAGAAGCTGGAGTGATACGAATGTAAAGTAATGGATCAATCTGTTTGTCTGCTATATTAGGTAGGATGTGATTAGTGGAATTAAGAGAAGAGATCGATGAAAAGTGTTAAGAAAACAGCTCAGCTTTGTCTTTAGGTGAAGTAAGTCTGAACCATGTAAGAGAGGTAGAATGACAGATTTGCCTCTATTATATACACTGTTAAAGATTCTTCCGAAGTCTTGGGAGCCTAATTTTTAAGATGAAATAGAAGATTTCTTGACATAAACAAACATGACAAAAAAATTTTACAGTGGTTTCTAGCAATATTAAACAATCCTGTGTTTTCTAAAGAATTGTTTTGGCAATAGATATCTTAGTAATGGTGGCGATTGCAAATTATAGCAGCATAATGAGAGAAAAACCATGGGGTAGAGTGAGGCTTTACTTGGAATTGTCAAGAGGGAATAAATAATTCCATGCCAGCCTGAATCCAAGAAGTTGCATAAGTAGCACATTTGTCAGCAGGAAGACGAAATATATCTACCCAAAAGCCTTAACAAAGAAAATCACGGAAAGAGTTCCAATCAGCTTTAAAATACTTGTAAGAGGTATGATGATAGGGGGTTCATGATGAAGAACAACGAGATAACAGTTTTAAAGAGATCAAACCGTGATCAAAAGTACCTGAGGGTGAATTTGAAAAAACTGAGTACTGGCTCGGATCAGAAACAAGATATTAATCAAGAAAAAACATAAATCAAAAGTGCATGTAGGTCTGGTGAACTTTGCAAGAGAAAAGACTTAATAGACGAAAATTTACTTCAAAGACCATGAATATTAGTGATTGATAGATTTAGAGAGCTTGGTTATGACAATAGTTTTTTGTGCTTTATAGTTTTTGATACTTTATTCATTTTTTAAATTGACTAAAGAACTTGACTCGAAACACAGATAGTACTCAGTACTCTATCTAATAGTCCAGGCATTTGCCTCATTTCTATTATTAAACCCAAAGCCGTTATAAAGGATCCAAATGTAGCCTCAACAATATACACCAAAAGTATCTACAAGGACACCATTCATGCGCAACATGGCACTATTAGTATGCTGATATTTTACAGCTGTTGATAGAACCGGTTCTTTCTGAGAGCTACAACATAGTAATGGAAACTTGACTACCAGCTGGCCTTAGAACCATAAAACTGAGTTTTAAAGTTGTACCCTCATTAAAAGATAATAGAATGAGTTGTCTAGTCATAAAAACAAAGACACAAGCAAAACCCATGCAATTAGATAAGAAGATCCAGTATTCAACATTCTAAGCTGGAAACTGTTTCATAAATACATTTATGCCAGCCTAATAATTAAAGAAGAGGTGCGAAGCTAGTCAACAGATAGAACCTGTTTACCGCTTACATGTGTGAGCATGAGTTTTATTGTGTTGGACTTCTTAGAACCTAAGTCTTGATCCCGGTCTTGTAAAAACTTTCAAGGTCTTGGTCTTAATCTTGTTTGATTTTTTGATGTGTTGGTCTTGAAGTCTTGGTCTTGAAGCATTCAGTCTTAATCTTGGTCTTGAGTCTAAATGTCTTGGTCTTAGTTATGATCTTGGCCTTTGCTGTCTTGACTACATCTCTGGTTAATAATATTCAATTATTAATATTCATGTAGATGAAACGTAAAAACTTTTTTATGAATAATTTAAGTGAAAAAGATATAGTATAGAAATGCTTATGTGGATGTTTCTGTGATGCTAAGCTTTTATTAATTTGAAAGGTTATCCTCCCTTGAATAAGTTATTTTTGTTCATTTAGTACTGTTTAATACATGAGTTAAATAAAGATTAAAAAAACAACTCGAATTTGTATAAAATTTTGAATTATTCTAAACTTTTGCTCGGTGATACCTATGACTTAAATATTTTTTTTTACAAAATATATTTGTTATAGTGCAAGCCAAACTGAAATTGAAAAACAGTTCTTGCGATATTGTTTTTTTTTTTTTATATACATAAATGTCAGTTCGTGTAAAGTTTGAAATTTAAGCAAGTTCTTGTTTTTTGTTGTTTCCTTTTTTACTAGTTTGAAATCTTTTTGTTTGTATGATGTTATATTTGATGCATGTGATTTGAAATTTAGAAAAAAGATAGAGAAGATGTTGAAGACAAAAGATAAAATTGATTGAATATGATTAGACAATGTGAAATTTTTGGAAATGAAATCTTGGAACTTAAATTAATATAAATTTACATCCTTTTTATAAAAAAACGAGTTTTAACAGTGTTTTGATATAAAACTAACTTGAAGGTTTTTTTTTTAAAAAAAAGACCTCAAAGAATACTATTGTATATTCAAGAGAGCCTAAAGAGGTAACGAGTTATATTTTAAAAAATTTTTTTTTTTTTACCAGCGTCAAAGTATTTCGTATCAATTTGAGGGAAATCGCTTACACTGTCTGGACAGTTGTTAACCATCCTCTTTTTTTTGTTTGTTTTAATTTTTGATGTAAATAGTTTGAAAATTGCTTTTATTAATTACTACAAAAGTAATAAGTTTTAGTGCACCATTTTATTGTTCAGTTTTTTTAAAAAGTTAGTTTTTTATATATATATATATATTTATGCACGTGGCATTTTGTTGCAAATGATGCTGTATATTTTACATATAAGATATATTGTTGTAGATAAATATTAATCTGTCGCTTACCCTCTAATCAATTATATTATGTTTTAGCATTGCGTTTGTAGTTGTTTGTTATATAACTTCTTATTTAACTTTAACTCCTTTTAAATAACGAGTGGTATACCATGCATTAATTACAGCAAATAAATTACATTAAAAAATTAAAATTTTATATTATTCCTTATAAAAGTAAATTAATAATAATCGTCTAAAGTTAATCTCTATCAAAATTTTTACAAAACTGCTGTATAAAAAGTGTAAACTAGACTTTACTAGTGTATACCAAATTTTGGTTGCATTACTGGCTTGATAGGTTTTTTTGTTTTGCAAGGGGTCAGGGTAAAAAGAGTAAAATAAATAAAGTTATCTAATGAGTGTATACAAAAAAAAAATTCTTTTTTCGTAAAAACTATTAATTTATTACGGCAACGTGGGAGCAATTTTATGTGTTCTAGTTTAAAGGGGCTTGCCACAACCTCCTTCAGCATCCATTTTCACTGCCCTCACAAATCATCCCTATGTCCTATTCTGACTGTTCGGCTTTAGGGACTTGAGTGACCGTGGCAATAGGTCTGCATACGACTGCAGAATTAGTAGGTAGTGAACCACTGGGCTAACTCACTTGGTGTGGAGTGAAGACTGCAGAATTAGTAGGTAGTGAACCACTGGGCAAACTTACTCGGTATGGAGTGACGTTTGCAGAATTTGTAGGTAGTGAACCACTGGGCAAACTCTTGACTGACGTAGTCAACTATTGTAGTTGTAGGACTGGAAAATAAATAAAAGAACACAGTGAATACCCTTCTAACATTTTGTTGTATCACCGCTACTGTAAGTCAGGATTAGACGAATTCGTGAATTAGTCACTTTTTATTTTTAGTTCATTTTTTATTTTTGAATTAATAACTTTTTATCACACTAGTTATTAGTGTAATTAAGGACACGAGTTGCGCGAAGTGTAAAGTTAATTTTCCAATGTCCACACAAAACCCATTTTGTGTGAACATTAGACAACATTAGCTTTAGTTACTTTACATAAACAAATAAAATACAATTGTAAAAAACTTTTACATTTTATAAAAAAACTAGTATAATAAGATGCTAAAAATAAATAGTATAATAAGATGCTAAATACAGGCGATTTTAAAACAAGGCGATTCAACACACAATTACCGCAACTTAGCTCACGTGCAAAACGGCAGACAATTTGATTATGTTTTGATTGAAACCACCACAACGCACTCGTTCGAGTAAGAAAAAAAAAAAAAAAAAGAAAGAAAGTCTAGTGGGGGGTAATGCATTACCCCCCCCCCTCCTGTATCCGCGCCTGATGGTCACATTGTTCGACTCAGAAGTAATGCTTTACCTACTCAATTCAAACGTTTTACTGACTATTTAAAAAAGGTTAGGAAAGCGCAAACATATATATATATATATATATTATATATATATATATATATATATATATATATATATATATATATATATATAAAATCTTAAAAAAGGCATTTCTTGTTATACGATATGTTTACAAATATATAAACTGATCTCAATAAAAAAGGCAGCGTATAACTATTTTTTAATTATATTTTGGTATAATATATATTAACGATATTTCGCTGACCTATTGTGGTCAGCGTCATCAGGTCAAAACTCATACCGTGTATGCTAGTAGAATAGCTAGAATAAAAATAGCTAATATATATATATATATATTATATATATATATATATATATATATATATATATATATATATATATATATATATATATATATATATATATATATATATATATATATATATATACATATATATAAGACTCTGACCCTCTAACCACGGTACTAACACCGGATAAGAATAAACAACAAAGTATAATATCCGTTAATGTTTTATAAGAAAAATATATGTTACAGTACACAAAAATACTGGGTAAATTGCCAGTGTTATAAACTATTATTTAACAATAATAAAAACGGAAAAATATCAAAGTTGTCGCAGCAACAATAAACATCCAAACAAGTTTTTAAAATATCTTCATGTTTCTTTTTCATCATCCAAAATGATGCCTTTTTTTTTCAGGTATAAAATGTATACCAAAAGGTCACAAACATGCTGTCTTTTACTTTATTTGAATATATGCCACCAAAGCACTGATATTTATCAAAAGGTTTCAACTGCTTTTCTAAATAAAGAATTCATGCTTCGTACACTAACTAAACTTTTGTCATAAATATTCTTCTCTGTCACTTTCAAGGTAGAGCGAAGAATGTTCATAACTTCTAAAACTGACTTTTTTTTCTTTCAACTGCTGCAATATTTACTTAAAAGAGATACATCAAGGAATTCAAAAATTAGAGATAGGTGTACCACCAACAGTTTTTTTAAAGCTTCCTTCAAATAAGAGAACACATTTTTGTCTATTTTTTTATTAATGACTTCAAAATTTACATTAGCATTGTATCCAGCAAAAGCAACACACTTAGACAAAAATTCATACGTTTGGAGTATTTTCAAAATATGTTGTAGTATATTTTCAGAGGTTTTATTTGGTGTTTTATCTAACGGGAGAATTTTAGTTTGGATACCACCTGTCTTTCAGTCAAAGTATTGAAAATCAGAAATAATTTCTGTGAACCGTGATTGCTAGCATCTGTGGGAAGACCAAATCATTATATGCTATCTAATGATTTCACCAGTTGACCAACAGTGTGGGAGCCTATTACCTGGTTTATGATTGACTTGGATTTTATGAACATGCGTTATTTTTTGCAATTTCTGAATCTTCAAGTAATTTGTACATTAAACCAGCTGTGCAGGCTATCAACACTGATGATAACAAACTGTAAGAAATGTTATAGTTGCCTAAGCTGCGTTGGATTTTTGCAATATCTTTGAGTTTTTAGATTGAAAAAAGAATATCAACTAAATTGATGACGCTGACACTTTGATAAAGTTTTTATGTTTGTCACTGCTAACATGGCGCTCTAATTCATTATCTCCATGTTAGCGACGGACAAGTAACTATCAAAAATCGTACACTTTGCCTCAATCTCGTTGCACCCATCAGCAAAACATAAGTACTTTGTTTTCATAGTATTTGAGAATTTGAGTTTTCTTTTTGTAGAAATTGAGGTCATTTTTATAAAAAAGTTGCAATTCAATTTAAGTGCTGTTTTGCTATAAGACAAAGAAAAGTGTGCTGAGTTAAAAAGGTTTTAATTAAAAAAGAATAGATCAATACTTTTTTTAAGTTTTTTAATTCCTTTGCCGTTTTATAAAACAATAACTGGAAAAGCGAAACACTCAGTGTTAAACGTAGAACCTGACGTTTTAATTCAAAAATAGAACGTCAAAAAAAATTTTTTAAAGTTCTACAGTTTTAGGAATAGCTTTGATAAGTTTAAATGAGGAAATACAAGTAAAAAAATAAAATAAAATAAAAAAAGCATATAAAAAAAATATATACTAATAAAAAAGCTGGACATTTTAAATGTTTTCAGCTTTGCCTACCGGACAGAGGACAGTAGATAAAAAAGGAGGACATGTCCTCGTTTTGCCGGACGTCTGGAAACCCTATATATATATATATATATATATATATATATATATATATATATATATATATATATATATATATATATATATATATATATATATATATATACATATATATATACATATATATATATATATATATATATATATATATATATATATATATATATATATATATATATATATATATATATATATATATATATATATACATACATATATATATATATATATATATATATATATATATATATATATATATATATATATATATATATATATATATATATATATATATATATATATATACAAAATAGAAAATGTATTATTATGGTTTAATAATAATAATACAAATACTCTTGTGCGTTTAAGAGTGCTCAATACTATTAAATAATAGAGTAAAATAATAAAACATTTGATTATTTATATTAAATGAATAAAAACAACTTTTGATGGAACTCTGAGTTTCATGCCTTTCGGCAATCATCAGCCATTGTGTTTTTCGTCACAAAATGAGGGACGAAATATGTATTTCGTCACTCATTTATACACATATATAAATAAATAAATATATATATATATATATATATATATATATATATATATATATATATATATATATATATATATATATACATATATATATATATATATATATATATATATATATATATATATATATATATATATATATATATATATATATATATATATATATATATATATATATATATATATATATATATATATATATATATAATATTTTATAGCTTATAAAATAATATATGTATAATATTTTGTAGATAGTAAAATTTCAAGCTTAAGTAGATAATAAAGATAAAGAACCAACTTTAGTGGATGAGTGAAGTTCTAGCTAAATAGAATTAAATAAAAAACTTGAAATAAGCCATAAAAAAATTTGCACTTGAAAAAAAAAGCTCAAAACTGGCCAATGAAAATGTAGCATAATGAAGAAAACAGTAGTTTCCATAAGTCTTTGGTTAAAAAATTCAACAAAAAAAAAAAGATTTCCCAAAACTGTCAAAAAATGCTTTTAAAACATTTTCTGGAGTACCAAGAGCACTTATTAAAAAAATAATTTCTGGTAAGCAATCCAACAAGGTGCAAAAATATCCTCCTGAAGTTAAGGCATTTGCATTGACATTGCAATTTTATTCTACAAAAGCATATGAGTTTGTGAGAAAAATATTTGATTTTGCCTTGCCAATCATATATTCGACAATGGTATGCAAAAATTGATGCAAATCCTGGCTTTACAAAACCAGCATTTGAAGCTATAAAGTTAAAAGTTAAAAAAGCAAAAAATAAAAATAAAATAGTAGTTTGCTCGTTCATGTTAGATGAAATGAGCATTAAAAACATATATCATGGGATGATAAAAAACACTGTTGTTATGTTGACTTTGGCTATGATGTAGATGATGATTTAGCACCTGTAGCAAAGGATGCATTAGTTGTTATGGTTTTAAGTGTTAA